TCTTTGCAACTTTACAGATCTTCTTTATGCACCAAGAGCTTGTAACACTCCAAAGAGAAAGGAAAAATTGAAATCGCATCATATGACCCCTTTAAAGTAACCTAATTCCGCGGGAAAACCGCGACTTGGCAACACTGACGTGTTCACACTGGCGCGAAATACACCCGCTCAAAACGCTCGACTGACGATGTTGCCGCTTTGGGGGCGTGTCTGTAAATTGTACGTCGATCATTTTTTGTACACGGTCAACAAGATCAGTAATCAGCAATATACAAGCACATTTATGCAAACGTCCAAATTTTCATATGGTGTCACTTGAATACATTTTTATTAATCCAGCCAGTCTAGCCATACAGTAATAGCCCAGTCAGGTAGCCTAGCACTTTATTTAATTTTTGACAGGAATTTTGTAAAAGAGGCTGTGAGAAAATATTTTATTGCTTAACAACATACCGAAAATTGCATAAAACAGTTTTTAAAGTTAGAAAGTGCGTTATGAAAATATGTATAAATATCTTTATTTGACCCTCTAACTCTAGCTCTCTCTATTCTAATTCTATTCTTTAAAAAAACTTGCCTTTTAGACCTGCACTCTATTCATTTACTGTTTGTTTTCTTAAAAAAAAACTAACACTAGCTTCTCAATTCTTTTTGTATTCCATCTATTTGTTTTCTTTTTATTTATTATACAATTAACAAAAGCAAAAAAAGGCCTCTAACACTAGCTTACTCTATTCCTTTTCTATTCTATCTGTTTAAAAAAAAAACTTGCTACGTGTACTGCGTTAAGCTAACTGAGACTTGTTATATCATTGCTCTTTTGTTGATTTTGATTGCTTCCATTGTCCTCATTTGTAAGTGCCTTTGGATAAAAGCGTCTGCTAAATGACTAATGTTAAATGTAAATGTATGGCACAATCGAGTTTGCTTTGTAATACAAATATGTGTTTAGTTCTGTGAGGGTGTGCTGGGCTTTTCTAGATGCCGGTCCATAGCAATAGCCTGTAGCTGTTGTAAACAAGTTTCATTTCATATAGAATTCTCTTATCTGGCCTTATATAGAACATCTAACTTACAAATATCAGATAAATGAGTAATGAGATTAATGTAATGATTAGGTGAAACACAGCAGTGCACAGCACACTCTCTATTATTCATGCTCTTTCAGGCTGTGATCATAGCAATATAGTTGACCTGGAGGACTCCATTACAATAACTGAGGGTCAGAATGTCGACATGGTGTGCGACAATGGCCTGTAGGTATACACAAGTTCAACAATGCATGATCAAGACATCAAATACCTAATGTTCAAATGACAAACACATCACGTTTTTTTTCTGCCATTCCTATCAGCATTCTTAGTTCCTCTGGTTCTAGCTGTAATTTTCCCTTAATTTGAGATTAAATATTGATTCTAAACTTTGATCATTGAAATGATAGGCTTTCAATAACATTAAATATTATTTAATATATGTCAATTTAAATATTGAAACATTAGCTTTTTAAAAATTTGTAAACACACAAACAAACAAGCCAGGACAAAACAGTTTATTTTGCCGTTTAAATTATTATTTTCTATATTTCTTTTAGCATCAGTCATTGCCATTCAATCTGTGAATGTTAAGGTTCATTATGGCTTTGTTATTAAATTAAATCGTTTGTTAATTTACAATAAAATGACACAGATAACTTGACAAATAACTGAACTTTTTTTTAAAGTGTTAAGTGTATAATTTTAACTTTGTTGTTAACACATATTTTTATCATAGGTCCATGTCACTTTCCAGTTAATATTCTCAAAATGGTTACTCCAATAGTGTTTACTACAAAAAAATTGAAGGACAATGAATCAAATGTCTAAAAAAAACGATTATTTCATTATTGCCATCATTTATACCAACACCACTGAGATGTGAGACCAGCTTAACAAAGTGCAGTAAATGGTAAAACGGCTACAAATTTTTTTTTTTTTTTTTTTTACAAAATATGTATTGATTTTCCATGAAAAAAATCTTTTTGACAAATCACTGGTTTTATTTACATTTACATTACATTTACATTTAGTAATTTAGCAGACGCTTTTATCCAACGCGACTTACAAATGAGGACAATGGAAGCAATCAAAATCAACAAAAGAGCAATGACATGCAAACATTTGTTTATTATTATTTATTTGAACATAATGTATCTGTATCCACTTTTTAACAGCTTTAAAAAGAAACCCATGAACATTAAGAGGATGTGTTATATATGATCTAGCAGAAGTTTAATAAATGGCTAATCTGATAGGTTGTTCTTTCAGTTACAATCACCATACACAAAATAATTTGTAGATTACAGATCCAATATAAAGGATGTATATATTTTGTAAAGAAATACATTTGAGCAAATAATTGTGCATGTAACAAGTGTTAATCAATGTAGAATATCTTGGAAAGAAGGGAAGGAAGCTGGCGATTTTAGACTGATCAAGGTGTCAGCGATAAAACAGCAACACAGCTGCTTCAGTTATCTCTCTGGAAGCACTCCATCCTGCATTAGTACCATAGCCATCCCAGTCGAAGCTCGCAAAGTCTCCACACTGTCTAGGGGCGCCCTCAGGAAAGTGTCCACCTCCACCAATACAGAACTGCAACAATATGAGGGCATTACTAACAACAAAACACACCTATGCACTTCTTCAAATGACACTGGTGTAGTTGATTTATTTCCATGGTAAATGTATAACTATCGATGCATTATGTGGTTAACAGCATGTCAAAAATGCTTTCCAATGACATCGATTTAAATAATCTAGAATATTATTTTAACTCACATGTTCAGTGTTACAGCCGGTTGGTTTGACACCTGAACAAAGAGCCGAGGCTGCCCTTTCAGTATTGAAGACTCTGAATGTGATGAATCCAGGCGTAAATATTGCTGGAAAAAAAGCAGAGAATATATCACACATGACATGGCTTTCATTCATTACATTGATTGAATCTCAACAATGATGCTTTTTAAATTGCACACCATCACTAAATAAAACACAGACTGTCAACTGATGCAGCTACTTTCTTTAAAAATATTTGAAAAATACTGGCTCTGGAGGTATTGCCATACTTCTTGAATGGGGACCATACAGATTTTTGTTGAAATCCACGTTTCCAGTGTCATACACTATTGGAATAGCAGGTCCATTATCAGTAATGCATGCCCCTATTCCAAACTTCACAGGGAATTTCTGGAAAAAAATTAAGATAAAAATTCAGTATTTCTGTAATTTCACAACATTTTTGTCTTTGACTATATTTTTATGAATGTTTCAAACTCAAAACTGGTATCCAAGTTTATCTGACCTTGAATAGATTGAAAAGGTTTCCTCCGTAGAGGTTTAAGAAGTGATTTTCAGTGTGGTATCGCAGGAGGGAGGTCGGTGACCACTGTTCCAAATCAGCGTTATTAGGAACATGCCACACAGACACATCTTGTGCTGCAATGTCATAGTATCCAGGATTCTGTGACATAAAGGAAATAAACTGTCATTTCAAATTCCTCATAAACATCTTTTGATTGTCTGTCTAGCGTCTTTGTGTCCTTTATGTTGCTCCTATTTAACCAGGGTTGTAAAATCATAAATGTACTAAAAATACCTTATAGTCATCACTTGTAGAGGCTTCTGCAGTTCCGAATGTGACTGTGTTTGCCCATGTCCCGTCACCATCAGGCCGGTTTGGGTCACTGCCCTGCTGACTAGACCAGCGATCACCAACAGTACACTTTCCATTCATGTAGTTTTCATGAACACTGGCCACCAGCGTCCAGCCACCACCCGCAGTGGTCATATCACAGAACGTCTGATAAAGGACTCCTCTTGATGAGTTCAGATAGTATAGCCCATCTGCACGAACAGAAGCATTCCTGAGTCACTTAAACACAGCTGTTGCTTAAGATAAAATATTAACATAAAATGAGGTACCATCATAAACCTGATACTTTTCATGCAGTTCCTTGCAGCTTCGAGCAGCATATTTAATTCTGCCCTGAAGTATTGCATCCTCAAGATTGGCCTTGATATCACCGGTTTTGATATATGGTACTTCTTGTTGATCCACTACAATGTGAGACATTAAGACTATTAAGATATATAATATATTGGAATATATTGTTATAGAAATGTGATTTTCAACGTTTTCAAATCAATTAATTTCAATCCAAACAAATTATTACACTTATTACTTACAAATTATCACACTTGCAGCCTCACAGAGCCATGAATTCAGTGAGAGACTGAAGAGGACCCCTACAATCATTTTTGTAAGAACCATGGTCTGCAAACAAAAGAAGAAATGTTCTTCACAATTATACTCCACACTGCAAAGCTAAAATTGATGCTACATGTTTCTGTTAAAAATGGCTTACTAAGCGTAGCTACTTTATATGCTATAGTATTTATATTTTAAAATTTAATTTGAATGGTACAGGAACTCTTACGTTTGTTTCTTGTCTTGTGCTTCTCTCTTCTGAGTTGGCGATCACGTCGAGGCTTTTGGCTTCTGGGTGAGACAGAGAATAAAGCTCAGGATACTTACTCAGGATACTTATACTTACTCGGGAGAGGAACGAGGAAAATGAAGAACCGGCTATATCAGCAACCCGGAATGTGGCTTTGGCTTACGGAAGAGGGGATTTCGGTGTTTTTACTCAGGTAATTTATACTTTATTGTCCGCGTTCCGCTAGTCTCATTCGGCCGTGGACAAATCCAGTCTGTCCGGTCTACATTCCTCCGTGAGTTGGAGTAAATACATTCATAAATGAGACAGGACAGAAACTAAAAACAATAGATGCTACTGCTATACTGCATGCAATTAACAATGGTAATAGGCTGCATGTCACATAAATGCACATTTAACAATAAAGGACGCAACTGGTAAATTTAGAGCCATGAAAAGGATAGTTCACTCCAAAATTAAAATTCTATATTCATTTACTCATAATGTCGTTCCAAACCTGAGGGGGGAAAAACAGGCTATCACACATGCAAAGAGTTGGAAATAAGCCTCTATAAAAGTGGCACATTTCCCAATATTTAATAATGGTATAATAATAGTAATAGTAATTACTAGGCCTAATAAATAGGGCCTACATCCCTGCGAATTCACCATATTTCTATGATGTTGGTATAACATACCGGTGTGTATGGCACATTCAGTGTTCGAATTGTGTCAAAGCTCTTGGGGGGTCCCCCTAACCAGAACCCCCAACCCCACGCCCCGTTCAAAATAAAAAAAAAAAATTAAAAGAACCAAAAATAAGAATAAATATATATATATATATAAAAAAAA